TTAGGGTTTTTGAGATTATGTGTTACACGGTGGAGCATGTAGAAATGCCTCCCTTGAAATGATGAAATCTCCCTGTAAAAAAGGTGCTCAGAACATACATTAGGGTTTTTGAGATTATGTGTTACACGGTGGAGCATGTAGAAATGCCTCCCTTGAAATTATGAAATCTCCCTGTAAAAAAGGTGCTCAGAACATACATTAGGGTTTTTGAGATTATGTGTTACACGGTGGAGCATGTAGAAATGCCCCCCTTGAAATGATGAAATCTCCCTGTAAAAAAGGTGCTCAGAACATACAAATATATACTACTATGGTATTGCTATATTGTATATCCAATAAAGATAGATCTTTAAATACACCTTTTCCTTATTATCCTTGTAGTGTTTTACTTTTAAATAAATAATAATTATTAATTGGAAAAAATGTGTTAATATTAGAATATACCTTATTCAATTATACTAATTATCTATTAGTAAATAAATAAATAAGTATAATATGTTATAGAAAAAGAATTTTAAGAATAAAATAAAATTTCAATGATAGATATACTTTATTTGTTTACCCAAATACTTTTTAAAAGAATTCTTTATAACCATGGTTGTGGATGATCAATATAAATGAAAAAAAAAATATATAAAAATAAACAAGGTCATGGAAAACTTATTAATGAACTTGATGAATTGATAAAAAAGAATGAAAATTTGGAAACAGTTGTTCAAGAATATAAAGACATAGATCAAGGTATTAGATTTAGATGCCTAGTCAAAATCAATATTATTTTCTTAATCATGAAATACATGCGCAGCTTAGAATTATCTATAATTATAGTAGTTTGACGGTTTGTATAGTTAATATTGTATATTCCAATTTACTCTAAAACCATAAATCAATAAAAATTTTAATTATGTTAAAATCTCTATTAACAACGAATTTTCAAATCTTTTGATAACCCTATTCAAAATGTGTATTTTTGACTTAACCCCTTTTGGCCGCTCACAGAAGAAATATTTCTGTGCCTGTGTGTAGGTGTAATAAGCGTAGATAATCACATTCAATGTGTATAAAATGTATTATTAAATGTACCCCAAGATAGTTTTACTTCAAAGTTACATAAATATGTTAAGTCATACACAATCGAACCCTATGTCATATTTAATGTTATATCATTAGTACCTTAGGTATTTCAAATAACTAATAAGGAGGAGTTCTAAACTATTTGCTATGTATACATTATTTTAAATCATTATCAAGTCTATATTGGTAAATGTTTTTTTTTTTTTTTTTTTTTATCTACTGTAAGAAAGGTTTGTGTAAAATGTATTTACTCTAAGGGGAAATTCACATTTTTAGTGTTCATAAATACAATAGTTTAAGTTTTCTTACATAAAAGCCATTGCGTACGGATTGATGCCCCGCAGCAAACCGTCCAATAAACCCATCACGATTTCGCATAGTTCACGATTTGCCCGTCGTGCAATATCGAGGCGCCGATGGTTGGCTTCTACGGACTCCAAGAAATACAACTGACAGTTGTACGCATTTTCCGGGGCGACGGCCACCTCACGATTGGTCGTCCGATATGTCTGACCGTGTACAATAAACACAGGCGGTCCCCGCCCTGGCAAACGCCTGTCGTGTGCGTTGGAGGCAAACGCAGCGAATGCCAGTAGGTTGTTGAACCACCGTACTTCCGCTCGGAATCTTCGACCATCCTGGGAATCATCTATAAACAAACTCTGTATTAAATATGGTACTGGTAACAACGCGTGTTGTCCTGCAGCGACCACTTGGCCGTTGTTACAACACGTGGAGAAGTGACCCCGGGTTGTTTGCTCCCCACTGAAGTGGCGGGCGTAACAATGTCTGCAGACTCTGTCCAACGCCCCCACGTAGTGCCGCTCTGGAAGGGGGTGTGTTACGCCCGCACGCCGGTTAATCATTGGCGCACGACCTATGGGTAGTTCGACCACTACCACGTACTCGATATCTTCTACCGGGTAGTCGTCCTCCACCCCGTCGTCGGCCACTTCCACTTCCTCGACCATTTCCACCTCATATACCACTTCCACTTCCTCCACCCCGACATCGACCATTGCCACCTCCTCTGCCACTTCGACTTCCACATCCTCTACCACTTCCACGTACTCCACGTCCTCAATACCAACGATCTGGACTTCTGCCACTTCCACTTCCCCATTCTCCTCCACCTGACGGTCGACCACGTCCACGTCCTCTCTCTGGACCTCCACTACTTCCACTACGTCCATCTGTACCACCACTCCTTCCACGTCCTCCTCTCCATCCGCGTCATCACCAAGTAGGTACCTAAAAGTTAGGTACAGTTTAGAGTAGGTACAATATTAAGGTTTTTTATAATTCTAAATAACTAAATATATAATATTATGTTTGTGCATTGAACGTCAAAATCCATACTCAAAGAGAACTGCCGCACTAAAGTATTAGTAACAACGTCTAATAAAAAAAAACAGTAGAATGTATATTATTACTTTTACTCTACTGTATAAACACAATGTTAAGTATACAATATCAGTAATGTAAACATAGGTAATCTATGGTTTATTTGGTAATGTATCATGGTTAAGTGCATTTCTATGAAATTATATGGGCATTTAAATATCATAAACATGTCTAACTTACAATTAAAGGAGAGTAGACCTGAGTCAGTAATAAATAGTATAAGTATTTTGTTCATTGGTTGTAAAAACTCATAATAAAAGTTAAAATACGATGAGTTGAACTTTTAATGGTTGTGTGTTCATATATATTTAATATAATCTTGTATTGGTTAGGTGTAATGTGCTCATGTGTTATACCGTGTGTATACTCATATGCAATAAGTGCATTTATATGATATTCTTATAGGATAAGTTGAATGTAAGGTTTATGTTACACTAATTTCAAAGAGTCATCAATGTGATGAGATCAAGTACACCTATATCTATCTCCACTATAAATAAAGTAAAGAATGTATCGAACACTATAATAGTTATAACTTGAGTTTATAGTAGGTATACCTATATATACTATATGTATATTGTATACAATATTAAATATCTAATATTTTTTTGTGCATTGAACGTCAAATCAATACTCAAAGCTTAACCTAACCTTAATAGGTGCAATCTTTTACATCGTAGTATAATCTAAAATTGTCATTGTAGTAAACAGATAAACTGAATTTTAACTTTAAGATCAAGAGCCAATCAAAAAACAAAGAAATTCACAGAAGAATGTATAAATGGTTGCGCATTCATACATGGTTATAATCTTTCTAACAACAATAACTTTGAAACATTGTAAAAACGTATTGCACTGTATAACAGTTAGTGTTATTAGATATTTGTATACCATATTCGTTTAGTTTGCCCAAAACAACATTGGCAAGATTTAGTCCGGTAGTTGATTCAACATTTATAAAATCTAAAAAGTATTCTTTTATTTTATGTACACTAAATTCATCATGTTCATATGTTCATACATATTTACTGTGCGTATCATTATAGATAATTGCTCTTGGCGGCTAGTATCTGGAGTACAATCCATTATTATAGAATAATATTTACATTGTTGAATTTCATTTATGATTTTTTTTTTAACCTCATTTGCCATCAAGTTGATTAGCTCGTCCTGAATATCGTGTCCCAAGTAGTGAGTATGTGTCTGTGAATTTTTAATGCGTCGTACATGTTCCATTGTCACCGAATCAAATTTGGATAACATTTCAATCAAACCTAAGAATTTACCATTATTTTTTGTAAATAAAACATCGGATTTACCACGAAATTCATCATTGTGCTTACTCAAGTACTGAATTATGCATAAAATTCGCTGAAGCATAGCTTTCCGATGGTTTTTTTCTTTTTCAATTTGAGCCAAATGTTGTTGATCTATCGTAGCCAATGACTTTAAACCTATTTTTAAATCCAACCATTGCTTTAAAGATAAATTATGTGGCTTAGAACGTTCATGTTGTAAAAGCTTTTGTGACAAATGCTTCCAATCGTTTACACCTTCCTTGATATTGGCTAAATTACTTTCTGATTTTCCTTGACTAAATAGTACGCAACAAAAACAGAATACTCGATCTTTTAGTTTAGAGTACACAAGCCACTGGCGGTCTACAACTTCCCCATTCGCCATATTATGAGTATAATATTGTTTTGTGAAGCTTCTTGGATAAGGTTTATCATCATTATACGGAAAGTTGTAATTAATTATTTTAATAGTTCTATGTTTTACAATATCAGCTTTTAAGTCATTATTTATATATTCTGGCCACGTTGCCGGGTCATTGAAGTCAAATATGGAGTTAACGTCTTTATTAATTTGTTTCTCTAAATCAGTATGTGTATTGTGCATACACTTTTCAAACGTATTTTCATCAACATTAAAAATTTTATCTGTATCAATATTATCGGATTCAAAGTTTAATTCGTTTTTAATTGAATTGTTTTTTACATTTATATTATGATCATTGTTTTCATCTAATTTGGAAATTAAGGCATTTTCTTCATCAATAATTTCGTTTGATCGAAAAACATATTTATCAAAAGTCCCACGTAGTTTTTTCTGTAACTCTTCTCTCTGTATCTTTTTTTTTCTTTTTTCATTTCCACTCATATATTTTCGAAATTTATCGCGATCACGGCCGGACATTTTGGTTTTAAAAAGGTTTTGGTTGAGGTATCCAAGGACAAATCTATATGTATATATATAAAAAACAAAAAATGGTTGTATGTATGTAGTATGTACCTACTATGTATGTATGTCCGTTTTGCATTCCCAAGGGGAAGAAAATAGGCTACATTTTGTTGCGAAAAAGGTAAATAAGAGGTTCTAAACGTGGTGATTATTATTATTTTTACTTATAATAAAAAATAAAATTTGTTTTTAAATGGTTGTTGTTATAATATATAAAATTATAAAACAAAAAAAAAACCACGGACAAAACGTTCACGCGGGGTCCGCGATCTACCTGCCCGCATAATCACACAAACGTATCAATTGCGACGCATTGCCGTGTCCAGCTAGTATTTAATAAAAAAAATAAAAAAATATTAGAAACTTACCAATATATGTAAATACAGTGGCTGGTGCCCGGCTGGTAATATTGGTATACAGCTTACCTATTATAGTAATTGATACACGTAGCGTAGTGGCGAATTCCAGTCGTGAAATGAAACACAGATACCGACGATGATAATTATTTAGAAATAATATTTGTTGCGAAGTAGTGAGCGATTACCAATAAATAATGATAAATACGTATATAATCGCAGCGGACGTGAATCTCTAGAATTGATTAGCCGATTAGGTATCGTACGTCTATTTTCTATACTCAATACCGGCTAATCGTCTATTCGTCTCTAATACTCTAATGACAGAAACTATATAACCAAGATAAGAAAAACAGGCAATCCACAGTTTAATGGAATTGATGTGCACAATGCACATATGACATAACCAATTAAATTGTTTCCAGCGGATTATTTTGGACTTCACCGTCGCACGTCGGCTTTATAATACCTAATTTATTTTTACTCTCACTCGTTTATTATATGAAAAACCCACAAGCTGCAACTGCAGACGACCAGCCGAGACTTGTATTTTTAAATTGAAAAACAAAATTGTGGTCTTACAAATTATCAAATACCATACATGCAGGCGCGGGGCCCCAAAATGGCGGGGCCCTGGGCAGATGCCCCTTCTGCCCTGCCCTTCCGCCGGCGCTGAATTTGTAATAGATATTATTATTATGTGTCAAGACATTAGGTATACCACCAAACGCAAACATCGTGACCGTCAAGTTACTCTATTTATTGTCTAGGCACATAATATATTAATAATACTTTATGCATTGTTAGTATACTGGTGTCTTTTGTCAGGTACACATGTAGGATAATTTTATAATACCGGTATACACGTAAGACATGAGTCATAAAAAAATATTCGAACATTTTCGACTTTCCCGACGGGCGGCGTCGAAACCACGACCCCCGGGTCACCTGTCCTAACGCCTAACCTACCTAGCCACCTACTGAGATGAAAACTTCAGTCAATTATGTGACTCTTAAGCCGCGTCGCCGTCCCCGCGAAAGGCGAACGCCGTTTGGACGTCAGACGTCAGTCAAGGGTCGTCGTAGCGGGCGATCCGACCGCGTCGGGAAGC